GGCCGTGGTCGACATCAAGCTGAGCTCCAAGAGCAAAACGCTCCCGCAATACACCAGAGCAGGGTACGGGACCTCCCCCCGCCGCCGCCCTTTCCCAGCCCTTTTCCCAAGTGCCAACTCGGCTCCGTGGCATTTCGTTTCAGGGAAATGGGGAATTTTGCCATCTGGTACAAGAAGGGGCCCGTTCTGAAGCCTGTCCCCAAGCCACGGAGCATCAGCACAGGCCTGAAGCAGCTCTCGCTCCAGTCCCCCGACTATGGGTACCCACATTTATTCATTCCCCACCCAAGTCTTACCTGGACACGTCCAGGAATAACTCTTGTGACTCCCAGTTTCTGTTCCCTGCATCCGGGGCTGGCTCTGGCTGCTCATCTCTCACCTCTTCTCATTGCTCCAGGGTACCCGCCACTCGCTGCAGCATCAAACGTGCTGCATCTCAGCACGAGGCTCTCTACGACACCAACATCTATGGCCTCTCAGGTAAGAAAGTGCTTCTTTCTCGGATGACACGAAGTTGGGTGGACCTTGCCCCGGGCTGTTGAGCTCCATGAGGTCCACATGGTCCCACCTCTCCAGCTCCCTCTGGCTCCATCCCACCTCTTCCCTCCAGCGAGTCACTGCACCCCACATTATCCATGTCACCAACAGCTACTTTATGCCCCAAGGAGGTAACTGTGGCCCCTGAGCAGCTCCTCCACTGTTCCTAAAGCCTCTCCCTTCTCTCCCCAGCCATGGACGGAGTCCCTTTCACACTACACCCCAAATTTGACACCAGGCTCAGCTCTGGCAGCAACGTGAGTCCTCCTTTAAGCTGCTGTTCTTAGTCCTCCCTCCTACCTCAAGTCGAAACATGGCTTTTGGGCTTTTTTTTAGGCTCTCCTCACAGAGCTGAATGTGAAATCACTCGCTGATATCGAGGCAGAGGTGAGTAGCTGCACTGCTCGGGGTGGGGGGAAAAGAGCAGTCGTGTGTTTTGCTTGTGAAACATCACAAAATGCTTGTGAAAATGGTGAATTTCTGCACTCCAGCCCCTGGTCCTGACCAACTTTGGGGTTTTTCTGTGTGTCTTCAGTACAATTATGCCTTTGTGGTTGAAAGGACGGCGGCTGCCAGGCTCCCCCCCAGCGTGTGCTAGTGCCAGCGGCCACCTCGAGGCTGTAAAGTGCAGCCAAACCCCCGCGGGGCTCAGCTCCTCTTCCTCCCTCCGATGAAAGCTGAGGCTAAGCAGAAGCAATGGAGTCCTCTCTGCTGCCAGAAGTGCTTAGGGAGGAAAATAAACACGTTTCTCTTCTCCCCTGCCAAGACCTGCTTGTGATGGTTCTGAAGTTCAGGGAGTGCTTGTTCTCCTACGCTCTGGCACCCTTTACTCGGAGCATCACCTCCTCCGAGGGTGGTGATGGTGGTGGGGGGAGAATTCCTGCCCCTCAGCCCCTCGTCTCTTAAGCACCCCAAACGTTTCTGCCTCACAAAGCAAGTTCCAAACGCTGTTCAAAATACATCGATTCTCATTTTTAGTTACCAAATGCTGTAAACGCTTCCTCAAACGTCAGGGCAGTAAAAACCTCCCGAGAGGGCCTGGAACCAGGGAAAAGCCAGCTCCTGGGGCACAGAGGTGCTTTCCACAGCCTTTGGCAGGAAGTTTCCCCCACGCCAGTCTCTGAATGGGCTCAGAGTTACAGTCCAAAAGGATTCGGGGTGACGGAGGGCGGCCCCTGGGCGCTGCCCTTGCTGGGCGCTGGCCAGCTCAGGAAGGCACTTTAAGCTTTGCACTCCCCAGCAGAAACTGAAGAATTCGGTCCACTACCAAAGCCAGGAAGAAGTCGGCCAACAGCACTTCTGTGATCACCACCTTGAACTGGGAGAACAGACACAACCCATTAGTCCTGCTCCTCTCCTTCCCCTCTGATTCACTATTGGCCTCGGCAGCATGTGCTGAACTAGAGCCCGAGCTTCTTCCCTTTCCCAGCACGCTGGAACTCACTAAATCATACACGTTTCCCAGCGTGCCATTAAAAATCACTTCAATCCGCCAGATTTCACAGCACACCCTAAGAAATCCCCAGTGCTTCACCCTCTGAGCTGCGGAAGCACGTTCTGCTCCTTTGGGCTGTTCTCTGCCTCATACTCTGCTAAAACAGAGCAGCTTCCAGTGCCTGAAGGGGCTACAAGGATGTGGAGAGGGGCCTTCATCAGGGGCTGCAGTGACAAGACAAGGGGTGAGGGGTTTAAACAGGGGAAGTTCGGGTTGCAGATAAGGAAGTTCTTCCTGGGAGGTTGTTGAGACACTGGGATGGTTTGAAGGGAGGTTTGGATGCCCCATCCCTGGCAGTGTTCAAGGCCAGGTTGGACACAGGGGCTTGGAGCAACCTGCTCTAGTGTGAGGTGTCCCTGCCCGGGGCAGGGGTTGGAGCTGGAGGAGCTTTAAGGTCCTTCCAACCCAAACCATTCCATGCTCCTTTGACCCGCTCCCCCACCCCTGCCCCCAGCATTCCCAGCAGGCTTGGAACCGTTCTCCCACTGGAGATGGGGGGGAAAGCCGGCAGCAGGGAACGCTGCCCGCTCACCTCCGTGGGGATTTCAACCAAGCCAAACTGCTCATTGAATTCCGGTGACGAGCCCGTGAGGAGACCAACGATGGCGAGTCCAGAAAGGAGGATGCTCCACAGTAAAGGCTTGTTCTCCCGGAGGCTCTCCATGAAGGGATGGCCCTGGAACACAGCAGGGAGAACCTGTGAGCAGAGGCAATGCTGGACTCCTTCAGACCAGAGGATGCTGAACAGTTCACTTGGATCATCAGCTCACTCCTCCTCGGGGCAAAAAGAGGGTTCCTCCCCCTGCAGTGCACTGACAGAAGGGAGTTGGCAATTAGAGGACATTTGGGTTGTATTATTGCACCTCCACGACAAGGGCACTTCTCTGCTCCAACAGGTTAAACATGACTTGCCTTGTAGTTGATAGCAAAGGTGGCCATCTGCATTGCCATGGACATGATGTAGACAGTGCTGTTCACCAGGCTGGGCTCAAACTCCTTGTACAGATCCACAAACTCCTCCTGTCTGGAAGAGAAGGAAGCTGGAGATCAGTGACCAGGACACGGGGCTGCAGGGCAGGAATCCCCTCCCTCGACCTGCTGCTCACGCTGTGGGTGCAGGCCCGGAAATGGAGGGGACGTGGCGGGCAGAAGA